ACACAAACATACTCACCCACCCACACACATACTCACCCACCCACCCCCACACACACTACTCACTCAGTGGATGTCTGCTAACATTCTCAACTCAAGAAAAATATACTAAATAAGTTATCCAGGCCGCAGAATAGAGTTACCCTTTTAACAGGCTCACACAACCACGCACAACCACGCACGCACACACAAACACACACACACACACACACACTTGCGTCAACGTACCGGCGGAACTATTAGCATAATCACTTTTAGATTATGCATTTATTTAAAGTACCCAGGCAAGCAAACGTATAACAAAAGGAAGAAAGAAAAACAATAGAAGATCAGCCATTTTTTTTATTAAGTTATACATATGAGGGACAAATGTAGACTATCCTGTTAATTAACTTGTTTTAATTTTTTATTTATTTATTCACGAATATTTAGACAGAGTATCCTGATCAGCATTAAAAACATAAAAAACATACAAATATCCAAATGCAAATTAACATAGTCTAAAACATAAGCATTTCATAAATATGGATCGAAAGAATATCTCTTGAAAAACAGGAATAATTTGCTGAAAAATCATATAGATATCATGAAAAGGTGTAAAATGCAATTTTTAAAGACCTTTCTCAGACCCCTAAACGTTAAGCCTTGGTCAAAAATACCTTTACGAACTGCTACGAATACCGTACGAACGATTTTCAGATCATTTCGTAAGATCTTCTTAATAGGGCCGTACGAAACCAGCTTTCGTAGGCCGTTCGTAGACCGTTCGTAAGCTCGCAGACTGGTCGATGCTCTTGTCCAAAATTTGTTCTCAACTTCGTTAGAAACCCTCTCTTCTTAAGGCGGCCGAACGTCGTAAGAACATCGTAAGAACCACTTAAGATCTTCATATATTTTGTAGGGTTGTTATACATGTAGTTTAGTTCAGTCAATTAAATAGAACAAATTTTAGAATGTTATCAAAATACGTTATCTCAGATCTTATTTACAAGCTCTCTTTATTTAAACATTGAATCCTTTGATGTCATTTGCCATCCCAATACATTCAAAATGTTTGAGAAAAATACCACCGGTAACCATGGTGTCCTAATGTATAGACTCCCGTCCTACTCATAAAGTTCTTAAAATAAATATGTTACAGTCATTAGTGAACGTATACCATATTATGATACGCAGTAAATGTGTTTGTATCTGTTTGTACTACTTGATTAAGTAAATTTGAAATGAAAAAGAACAATTAATTGCTATGCGTGACACAGGGTGAAGAAATGCATTCATGGCCATAGCCTACCCTTGCAAAAATTGTGTAGTTGCCCCAGTTCTTCAAGCCACCCAAGGTATTAAGCCTCTGTGTGTTCCCTTTGTCGCGTAATTGGAGGTACTGGTTCTCAGATTCAATCTTTAGAAATTGTCATAGTGATGGATGAAGGCTTGCTCCATTGAACTTGTTTATTTATTTATTTCTGATATTTAGACAGGGTCACTCAAGTGATGGTCTTCCATGAGGCCTTGTTAAACATGAGGTACATTAGTTTAACAAATATATATATAATAATAATAATAATAACAAAATCATGAACATAAATTCATAACAGCAATAAAGAATAAGTAAGAACATGTATAAAAATATATACAAAGTATTTGGTATCCTCGTAATAAAAGAATGGTTTGTTTTGCTTTGCTTTGCTTTTTCGTTGAAGAGAACTTTGTTGCATAATTATAATATTTTAATGTAACATTATAGCATAGACGGTAATTAGTTTTTTAATCCGATGAAAAATAACTATTGGCATATTTCAGTATGTATAAGACCTTGAAAAAAAGCAGCATATACTTTTGAGAGTTCAATTGTTATATTCATATTTACACAAAATAAAAATATTAGAGAATAGTAAATTACTGGATAATATGAAAAATGAATGCATGTAATATAGTATAGCAATTGAATGTACACTTATAATAACATTGAAAGTATTTATAACTGATAATAAATAATATGAAATCATTCTTTAAGTTTGAAAAGCAGTATGTCGTCCTACATTCTATGAAAACAGACACTAAACAAATTCCTCCTGTCATTTTATTTTATTGGGAATCGATATTGCAAGATTGTTTGAACATGTTTTTAAAGGTGTTCACAAAGCTTACCATTCTCAACGATCTGTCCAACGGGTTCCATGCTATAATTGAAGAAACGAGGGGGCTATGTTTAAAGCATTCTGTTTTATACTTTGGCACAGAAAGTAAACCTTCAACTGCCTGCCTCGTATTATGCTGATGAATGTCACTTATTTTAATTAATCTTTCTTGTAAATAGGATGGCGCCAAATGGTATGTGCATTTGTACATCATATTAACAAACTGACATTCAAAACGTTTCTCAATTGGCATCCACTTCAGAATGCTAATCAATTCACTGGACGGAGTCTCGTAACTTTTGTTTGAAATTATTCTAGTTGCTCGATTTTTGAACTTTCTTGAGTTTATCAGTTTGTTAAGGTCTGCACATGCCTGCTCCACTCCGCCTGTCATACCGGGATGACCACAGCTAAACACTCAAATCTTTCCCTTCTGTTTAGACACAAAGAATACTCTGATTAGAATCATTGTTGTGTATAGTAGATGATATATACTCGTTCACCAAACTATCTTTTTTGGGGAGTTTCACTTTAACGTACTCTACTGCTATATGGAGCAACAAGTGTCATTTTTTAAAAATTCTGTTCACATGACCTTCACTAATAAATACAAAGGATCCAGTCAAGAAACGATTTGTATGCCAAAACGACATGAATGTTTTATCATTTAGTTGCAGAGTTATGGTAATTTTTAGAGGACGGAGAGATTGTCACTTGGTGCTCTATGCACCAGTGGACTAAATCTACCCACTAAGTCGGGCTTTTAACCAGGGGGGCGTTTCACAAAACTTGTCATCAGTGACAAATGACATTTTTTGTTATAAGCCACTGAAAGCCTGATTGGTTGTCAACAGATTTGTCACTGATTTTTGTCATTTGTCATTGAAAAAAAAGCTTTTTGAAACGGGTCCCGGGGTAAAGGTAATATGCTTGGCCAAGGAGAATAGTGAGATACTTACCCCTAGAAATGAGTGATGGACTTGAGACCAGTGAACAAAGATCTGTTGGAGATCTTCTGAAAATGACGCTCGCATAAGTATAGAGGAAAGGGACACATACAATATTTAAATTAATAAATAAGGACAAAAATATAAGTGACATCGATCAAAGATTCAAGGATCAATGAAATTAATCATATCCAAAACTAATGCACACACTTCCAAATATTTTTCAAATGGAAAGCTTAATGTATCAAACGCGTAGGATCAAATAAAACATTCATTACATAAAATCAATATTTGTTATATGTTTCTCCATTAAGACAAGGATAATACTCTGCGTCAATATTGACATGTATGATCTCTTTTCAGAGTCGCCCCGAGGTAATTGGAACAAACTTGTGAATAGATAGTCGTTATGCCCATAGGGCAAATTGATTGATTCCTGTTCGGTTCAGTTTAGTTTAGTATACTTTTTTCTCATAAATGTTAAAGGTACCATGTCCCATTTGCAGGCCCAAAACATGAAAAGGTTAAATTCAAACAGCATTTGAAAAACAATACTAATTTAGAACCTCCCTTAAAACGGAAGGTCTTGAAAAATAACGGCCATTAGTTGTCGAATCGACTTAAAGATGAAGTTGAGTTCTGGTCATGCGATTGCATTGTGAAAGAAACGGTGTGGAATCGACCAGAAAAGGTTGATCATCTAGCATATAGAATTTGTGTGTATTGCAAGGTTCTGGAATCATCAAAATGATAAGAAATTTGTTCAAGTCTTCGTAAAGTTACAAACAATGTACACAGAAAGATGTATATGGGACTACACGAACATGTCGCGTAAAAAATCCTACCCCCGAGTTTTACGATGTTTCATGAAATATTTAGAATATGAAGGCATTTGAAGAGCCATGCTTTTCAGGGAACATGTGTTATCTGATGTTTTTCCACACTTGCATAATAAGAATGATAACGCTCAGAAATTATTTTTCACCTCTTCCCAGAACTCAACCTTCTCTTTAAGTGATTGCTTTCTTTCTTTCTTTCTTGATTTGATTTTGTTTGGCAATCAGTCACAGTTGACTTTTTTTGCCGCACACTATTTTATGAATTATTTATATAAAATGTACAATTACATGTCACAATTACCTTAGTTATAGTCTGATTATCAGACCTTTTTACCGAATGGTTGTAGGTTTTGTGCTGCACAAAGATTCTATCGGTTTAATTTTGGCCATTACAAGTAGTGGGTTATTGATGTACACAAATGCACATGTACCTTTACAGCTCATTTTATGTATGCTATTACCAAAGAAAAAAGATGTCAGTCAGTCACTCAATAGTGTCTTACAGTGAAGTCTAGAAGGTGAACGCGTTTCCTCGCATGATATGAATATTAGGACACTGCTAATGTTTAAATTTCACAGATATGACATACATGACATATTCATAATTCCTACAAAGTTCTACAGAATTCGATGTTATAGCTGGAAAAGGGACATACTATCTTTAATAAATATTCAGGCGAGTAAGAAAAAAACAACAACCAAATTAACTTTTTGGTTCTTCTTTTGGCTCTCTCAGCTTCAATTTTGCACGATTTTAAGCGACAATATATAATTAAAAAAAAAAATCACTTCGGGGGCATAAAATGAGAACGCCCGCCGTAAAAAGTTGAATTGGTTTTGCTTTTTTTTTTGCGTGCATTTTGAGCCGACACAATTTGGTAAAATTTCTAATTCGTGTTTTTGTTTGGCATGCACTATATTAATAGGCCGCTGACTGGATTACATTGGTTATCCTGTTTCAGTATAGTCTTCTAGTGTGTCATTGGATTTTCTAGTCCATCGAGGCCCATTGACCTTGTTGGACAGTTGACGCACAGTGTTTTAACAGATTTGCGTATGCGTTTCCTGATTTTTTTAGAAACCAATGCCAAATTGAATTAGAAGGAAGTGCTTAAATAGCCGGGTTAGTAGGTAGACTGTCCAGTGTACTCGTCTATTTGCTGATAGACAGCTATGATACATGGAGCTGTAGGGCTTTTTCGAAGGACATGTATAACTTACCACTTTCGATTTGTCAGAATCTAGTTCAGGAATTTTCACTTTGCAGGCCACTGCTGATAAATTACAAGCTGGTCTACATTGTTTCGCCATATTCTCTGGATTAGGTCGGTACATTATTATATTTGTGGACATCAACAAAGAAAGGACAAACGCTTCTGAGCAAGTTATTTTATTCGTACAGTTTAGGATTTTAATATCATTTTCTTAAAGCTCAGTTCTTCAGGCTGTCCATATACAAATTAGCATCATGAGTGTACCTATACGCGAGACGATCGCTCCTGCGCCGACTATGATAAGATCAAGGAGCACTTTACCAAAAAGAATTACTGAAACAGTGCAGTTCATCCGGCCCGCAGGTTCCGGTTATCGGCCGGGCTACCATGAGACTGTTGTCAATCCCCAACCTGCTGGCCTGCCATATCCCGAAACTTACCCTCAGCCTTTCCGAAGTCCGCGCGAGCGACCTGCAGATTATCTTCCGCTGGATCGAATCCATGAAGACGGACATCCGGATATAGCACGCTTCACAACAGATGAGTTCAAGGAATTTCACGAGTACCTGACGAAATCTACCGAAAATGGCCGAAGTTTCCAAGGGTCTGGGCAGATCGACCTTGAAGACATTGCGGTAAGATCAATAATTAAACAAAAATAGATTTAGGGAAGACGCACGGGTCTACGCGTCTGTAAAAAAACCAAAACGTATTTTGATTTGCCGCGATGGTTCTTGTGTCTTTTAAATCTTCATGATTTTATTTTACAACTGTTGGTCATAAAGGTGGAATAATTTTGTTTACCCCAATTTATGGAATGATCTTGGCAATGATTTATTCCTAATAGATCTAGATAACAGTATAAATTCTCAGATCGTATTGAATAATAATTTGTGAGTGTTTGTTTTGCGTGACTGCTGGAGCATGTGTATGCTACTATGCTGATCAACTAGGGGACCTACGTCCTTAAGTCATAACTGGCAGTAATGAGGATTAATGCCTCACAAAAGGGCACTAATATTGCCTATCGACATGGTTTTGATCCTCGGGCCACACCGTTACAAGGGCGAGGCTTTGCCACCGAATCATAACTCTACGCAGCAGGGCTAATAAAAAAGTAAGAAAATGTAATAAATTATCAATAATTCATTGCATTTCCCCCCGGTTCACAGTAGGAAAAAATCCTCTGTATGGCCATGCATTATCGTTCACAGCATGGCCACATGGTCAAAAATCATTCCATGAATTGGTTTAAACAAGAATTATTCCACCTTTATGACCAACAGTGTACATGTATGTGAATTCTAATGTCTTTAATTTCAATTCAATTCATTAAAATTTATTTCTTTCCTAGAATGAAAATGAATGTTATTTATGAAGCATGAAGCAAGTCCCTAAAAAAGATGTTGTATTGTCCATTATCATTTTGTTGCTGTTGTCGGATCACCGCAAGTTTACCTTAATGAAGGAAACGGAAGACAATCTGTCACCCATCAATATACGTTATATCGATTACTCATTGACACTGAAATATAATTATGCAGGTACCTAGAAATATGAGCTAGGTGACCAAGAATTTATCGAACATAATAGTTCGCAGGCTCAAACGCTTGTCAGTCGTAATGCTTAAAGGTAATGCAAAGTTTTGGGACGTTTTGAAAATTGGATTGTTAGTAATTCTTAAAATGTTGATATACTTTGATGCCCCTGTGAATGTATTATAAGCACTAGAAAATTTAGCCCCTAATACACTTCTGCTTTCGAGAAATTGAATTATCAAATATTTACCGGTGCTCCCGGTAAATTTCAAATATTTCCAATAGCGCCTAAGGTCTTTCCATGATAGCTGCGACCATGAAAATCTCAGAATATGCAGTTCTGATATATAATTTCCAAACGGGAAAAGCACATCGGTCGATTGTTACAGTAGTAAAAAAAACCCCCATTGTTTTGAAGCTACAGAAATATCAGTCTTGAGAGGGTGCTATACAACATTAAGAGTTTACTATTCACTATTTCATCACTCGATTTCAACAGCGGCAACGATCATTGAATATTGTAAAATCGCATATGCTTCTAATACGATCATTTGAACCAAAGTCATGACCCCATACCAAACTTTGTAATACTTTAAACAGAGTATACTATCCCAACTGCAAGGTCTACTGCACCAACTATTATCTGAACCATGAACCCTACCACATACATGTCTGTACTATAGCTTTTAGCTCTCAATTGACATAGCAAAGGACTGACAAAGTTAGTTTCTGCTCAAAACTATATGGAATTGTGTTTATAAGTGTCAAATCAGAGTGTGTCCGCAGGCTACACTGTGGCCTATAAAGTTAGATTAATTTTCCTTACTTTTTCCCATGGAATGATGGTCAAAATATCCTCTTATAACCTTATATGTATATGATATATGTGTATTTATATTTTACTAAAGGCGTCATTAGACGGACATTTGGAGTGAAAAGTGAGTCATTAATTAAGTAAACATTGTCATTAGGAGGACAATAATTCTACAGATCGTTTCGGGAAAGGGTTTAGGGTTAGTTATATATATATATATATATATATATATATATAAAACTCTACGATTCTTTAGATTTAAAAATCTTGAATGAGATTTTCATATTCTCGCAATTCATGACAAGAGTAAACAAAATAGGTTCCAAGAAGGCAATCAAGGCCCCTCGGCCCAGCGGTGGCAACAGGAGGAACAGGAAAAGGAAAGAGAGTTACGGAATATCTACATGTACAAAGTCCTTAATAAGGTTCATCCGGATATCGGGATATCCGGTCCTGCGGTGTCCAATCCTTATCCAGCACAAATCCAACAGAAATAGTGTGCAGCTGCAGACCCTTGTTAGTCGTAGGACGTAGTGCAGTGTCTGAACTAACAGACTATGAATACAGCAAGTTTTAGTACAACCCGGCCATAGCTTCTGTATAATTTACACATGCTTTAGCTGCTCCGGTATTTTACACAGCCAGCGACTGGCAGTACTATAGGCCCTCGCTTAAGTCTATATTGAATTGTGTTTAAGTGTCAAGTTAGAGTATGTGCATGCATACTACTTTATCCAGTATTAGGTCATTGTCATCAGAGGAAGGCCTGAATTAGTGACGTATCGAGATCGGCCTTGGCCTCAGGAGAGCCATTTATTTATTTATTATTATTATTTTGTTGTACCTGACTGCTAAGAAAGCATGTGTATGCTTGTAAATAATGAACAAGGGGACCGACGGCTTTCGGAGATGAGGATTAATGCCTTACCAAATGGGCACAGGCGCATGCATCGCCTTGGTTTCGAACCCGCGTCTCCCTTTTCAACTTACCGATCTATGTACTTTCAGTATAATACTTGCTTAGGACTATATATGAAGAGGTCGGTTCCAAAAGGTACTACACGTTTCCAGTAGCCTCATACACTGACACTTTCAAAAAACTGAAATCCCAAAATATAGTTAAAAATGGCATTTAAAAATCAGTTCGTTTCCAAAAGGTAGGCCTACTTTGCCCAATCAAGTCATGCATTGTAAATTGCATACAGTTTGCAATATTTTCGGTTCCAAAGAGTACTATATCCAATTTCGGATCCAAAAGGTACTACAGCAGGGGGTAAGAGGACACTTTTTTTTTTTTGGTCTCGAAATTTGAAAATTTGACATTTTGCTCCGTGGTGGGGGGGGGGGGGGGGGGGTAAGGCGACCTTATTTAGATCAGCCTTCGGCATAATTTAAAAAAAAAAATTATTTAAAAAAAGGGGGGGGGAAGGGGGGGGGGGGGTTGTTGCTCCAAAATACACACATAAACAAAATGAAGGGGGGGGGGGTTCAACCCCCGAACCCCCCCCCCCTGCGTACGGTGATTGTTAACATTTAATCGGCCAGATTTTGAACTCCGAGTGTGGCGGAATTTCTTTAAATTGGTAGGAAATGTCCACTTGCCCCTCCGTCAAACACCCTAGTTGCCCAAACATGACAGTATAATAAGTGGTTTTGAACGTTAGCATTCCCTCATCTTCTCTATGTTATTGGAAAACAGAAATTGACAAATATCCTATAAAAATGAGAAAAGTATGAATTTTTGGTCGGTCTGTTGTCGGTCTGCTGTCGGTCTAATTGGTGTGACTTAGGTGTGGGGGACCACTTGTTAAAGTTCAAGTCCAAGTTCAAAAACCTCCTTTTGAAGACAATCATACCTTTCCTTACGTTTCTTAAATTTCATTTTTAGAATATCCAAACAAAGACCCTGGAAGGACTGAAAACACCATCTTCTGAGGCAAACCAGGGAGCACTACTTGACACTCTGCTGTCCCTTTGTGAGCTGAGCAATCTACGAGATAAAAAGTGCGTTGACTTCTTTACCGAGGCAGGGTTCAACGACATCTTTAGAGATATCTGGTTGGAACTACATGGCAATGATCAGGTAAGGACATGCCAATATAACTTCTGGATAGGAAAATTTTAATTGAGAAAGATATAATCTACAAAGGTATTCGCCAATCCTACTACCTGTATACCTGTATACCTGTATACATGTGTGTGTGAATAAACTAATTATATACGTGTATACTGCATACGAAGATTTCAAGCTTCTGATTGGTCAAAACTACAGGCATGAAATTTGCTACTGATTGCTTGAAATCATAGCGAAAAATATTGACCGGGCAGAGTTGTACTGTACTTGCCCGCAAAAAAGCAAGAACGCAATGGTTGCTCGTGCATGTGTGAAACGCGTACAATGCTTTCCTTCCATTCTACAATAAAAAAAACTTTGGCAGGCGTGTTTTGTTAAAATATTCCCTTTTTTGAGAATTGAAAAGGGGGATGTTGTATATAAAACAAATATTGACTGCTTTAGTGTCCAGGTCATGGTTAAACTAGAGCTCCGTGATGATCACGAGACCACACTGTGCCTCTCGACTTCTTCTGGGGACACAGTATATTTTCGAGATCACCTTGGGCAATATTTTAACTGTGCCACTCAAAGCAGTCAATATTTGTATGATATACAAACGTAAATTACATATGTTTGTAATGATTGTGTAATAATAATGATATTAACAATGAAAACGATACTTTCACTTATAACAGATAATGATAATGATAATAACAACAATGATAATCAATAGTACAAACAATAATTAATTTTCTAGAGGACACAAGGCGATATGTGTGTATGTGTGTACGTATCTGTGTGTGGGTGAGACCTAGAGAGAAAGAGTGAAAATGTGTATGTGTGGGTTTACAGCAGTTCATCATGCGGACGTTGAGTTCACGAGCTGATATATGAACCTATCTTTCCTATATAGATCAATCATCCAGGCCTCTACATCGGTTTGAACCTCCTCATTGACGCCTCCCAACGCTTTACGGAGAATAGCCCCGAGCTCTCCCGCCAAATGGGCAAGAACAAGGTCGTGCTAATGATCCTTGACAAGTTGCGCGATCCCTTCTTCGACGTCGAGGCCTTGAATCGCGACGACGAGGAGCTCAAATGGATGTCGAGGAGGGAGTTGTTGAAGAAGATGTTCACCTTGCTTTACAATTGTATCAGGTATGACTTAAATTTCGCTCAGATATGACGCTGTGAATCACCGTAATAAGAAAAGAAAACAAAAACTGCCGCGCTTTTTAACATGAACGGGAAGTGCGCGAAACAAAGTTCTGCGCACATTTCGCACTTAGTTCTGTGTTGAAAAGGTGGGAAATGTGCTTTTAAGTGTATAACACTTAACGCTATTATTTAAAAAAAAATGAAAAAACCCGCCGCGGTGTTGCCACGTTACATCTTTGCGAGCTTCTTTGGTTGTCAATTGCAGTGGCTCCGGTATTATTGGGTGGGGTGGGCTGAACATGCCTCAGTCACACCTTTGCTATTTCGCTTGCATATTGATGCGTATTTTAGGCAAGCCGTTTTAACATTTAGTCCTATTTCATGATATCAAGAAATAGGAATAAATGTTGAAACGGCTTGCCATAAATACGCAGCATACGCAAGACAAATACGCAAAGGTGTGACTGAGGCATTACTGAGCGGTTAAAATGCATACATAGGAATATGCAGTGAAGAAGACAATTGACTGGTCAGGAGCAGGCTGGTTGCAGCATTTTATTTTTGAGGTTCTCTCCTCTTTCTCTTCCTTTGTCTTTTATATGTATGATTTTCACCTCTTTTGTGTGTGTGTGTGTGTGTGTGTGTGGGGGGGGGGGGCTCATGTTACTTGTACCACAGGTCAGCCGTCAGATGGTAAAACGGTCTAACTCGAAATTTTGACTTTTTGAGGTAAATTCACTTTCCGGGTAATGTGAGGGCGCTATTTCCAATGGTGCTATCGAGAAAATCCCATCATGTCTTCTTTTAGAGATAATTTCCGCTATCTTGGTACTTTTTTGTATTTTTCCTTCAGATTTGATGGTAAAACGGTCTATCTCTGAGTTAGCCCATTGCCGGTAATATCGTGTGGGGGTAAAACGAGCTATCTTTAACATAAACCTTTTAACCTTCTGAATTGAGATTTTTTAATCATCGCTGTCAGATGGTAAAATGGTCTATCTTCGATTTAGTAGTATGGCAATAGTGTTTATGGTCTTTCTAGAAGATAGACCATTTTACCATTTTATGGTGTGTAGTGGGAGTGTATTCATGTGCTGTGGTTAAACAGTCTATCTGCACAAAAATCTCATTTATTTTATAATTAAAACCCCAAATAAGCACAAAATTCTTCAGTTATCAGTGTTCAATATGCTTCTTCTTGTCCTATTGCTAAAAATGGATTATACCCATCTCCTAAAAAAGCTGAAACCTCTAAACTTCAAAGTCATTTTTCTCAGAACAGCGAGTTTCGAGTTAGACCGTTTTACCATCTGACGGCCGAGGTTGTCACCGTAACGCACGTCAAGTAACCATTTTTCATAGGCGTAAATTCGTTATACTCGTCCGTTTATCGTCGGTGTGTAGGCCTTAAAGTGACTGGGTAACATTGTTGAAAGTTGAGGGGGAAAAAATGCATAATTTCTGTATGAAATGTTACTTATTATATTCCTTTTACTAACCTTTTGTACTAACCCTCTAACATGCAAATAATTCTGAAAAATTCTCAAACCACAAAGATATCTATGGTTTTCTTTCAAGGTGTCACTGTGCAACACCCTCTAGCGGTGATTAACAGTAAATTTTCCCAACCATTTTTGAATGTTCTTTTTTTTAACCGTTTGTCCATGAAGACATAAGACAGGCTCTTAACAATATTTTGACTTAAATGTCTGGATTGGTATATAGAGCAAATTCATTGGTTTGTGACGATTAACATTCACCTAAAATGTAATTGAATTGTAATAATATAGTTGAGAGAATTAAGGAATCGATCAGATCAGTTTTTCCCAATTTATATCATTAATTATGGTCTGTTTTCACTCAAAATTTCAGATTGTCTAGCATTGAAGTCCCTACCTTAGCACCACTTTCTCTCATCTGAACAATGCTACCAAGTCCCTTTAAGTCATGGGTCATTTTTTTTCATTTTTTTTCAGAAACCATCCTGACAACCGACGGTTTTTTCGTATGATCGAGGCATCGGAACTTCTTAAGCCTTTCTTGGATTGCCGATTCTATATCTTGCGTGCAAAGGTTATCTATTAATTGATAAGCTATTGATTTTAATTATTTATTCACTTCTTATAAATCATTTTATTATTAATTTATGTATGCAGGCAGGTTTGTATTATTTTATTCACCTTTTTACTTATTTGTTATAGATTCAACTTTTTAAAGGGAAAAGCGATGCGTCTACATTTCGTTCTCAGCGTTTGAATTGAATAAAATGAAATAAATTGCAAACATTGAATTACAAAATAACAATGGTACATTGATACATGCAGGTACACCAAAAGAACATGACACGTAATGGCACCAACAAAATAAAGTTACAAATTCATAGAACACTTTATAACAGTATAAGGTTAGATGTGGCTGGAAACCGATAAAACGCTCAGCACCAATACTAAACGGATCGAAAAATGTAAACGTTCTAAAGCTCAAAAGTTTGCGGAAGTCCAAAATTCATATAGTTTTATTTTTATTAATACATCCTTTTCATTTTTATGAACACATTGATGATTTTATTTGTTCAAAGATTTGTCTTCTTTTATTATAATGCTTTAACACTTAAATTTTTTCTTTTTTTTCTTCATTTTAGTATGTAAAAAGTTACATGATACTGAATTATTTTGTTGTATATAATATGTAAATACAAAACAAACAAGTTTTACATTCATATGTATAAACAAATTTAGAGAAAAAAAATCTTGCCAACGGATGGAACTAGGCTCGACTATAGCACTTGTGCTAACTTCTAGTTCCCTAAATTTCAACTTCACCTAAATATAGTAATACACATATATACGTATATATATTTTGTACATTTAATAGTATGCAGATGTATGTCTAAATATTGTTTTAAAACCATTACTTTTCAATCGACATTACTCTTATGTTATGTATACATGTATCAGTATTATTTTTTGCATTGTATGATTGTTCATATGTACTGTCATTATTGAATGTGATGTGTTGTTGTTAATAAATTCAAATTCAAATTCAAAATTAAAAAGTAAAAAAAGAAAAAATCAAAAGTTTCAAAATATTGTTTATATACACTTTCCCCTTATTCCTTTACACAGGCGCTCTTCATTCTGGCCTACATTGTGACTGAAGAGGAAAACATTGATCTTAATACGACGAGCCTCAACATCGAGTTCATTGTCAAGGTCCTTCGTAGGGCCCTGGAAGACCCTTCCCACTACTCCGCTCACTATAACTTCTTCGCCGTTGAGGTTGTGGAAGCTGTACAGAGAGTAGCGGCTAACGACCATAACAAGGTAATAATGAAAATAATAATGATACTAATTAGTTATTATCTTGTTTACTCATGGGTGCCTCACCAGCTTCAATGTTGTTCTTCCTCAGGGCCCTGCATTAGTATTACCCCGATGATTGCCAGTACCTATTTACACCTTCACGTAGGTAGAGAGTGGCAAGTATGGATTCATGCCTTGCCAACGGATGTTAGTGCCGGGCTGAGATTTGAACCCTCAACCCTTGTATTGTCGAAAGTCAAGTGCATGAACCGCTATTCCAAAACGCACCCACTTGAACTGACACAATGGCGTAGCGAGTGTCCCTTTGTGAGGAGGCAACGAAATGGTGGGGGGGGGGGGGGCTGGGAAGGTTTTGGGAGGTGGCCCATGTATCTTCTTTTCTATGTGGGCGAGGGTCCTACTCGTAAAATAAAAACCGAATTTAGGCTACTGCTTAGGGGAGGGGGGAGGGGGGGGGGGCTTCCGGAGGTGGTCCAGGGTACTCTTCCTTTTCATGTCCATTTCCCCCTTCACCACCACTACTACTACAGCAACTACTACTACTACTACTACTGCCACTTTTAATAATAATGATAATAATACTACAACTAGAACTACTACTGCTACTAGTGATTTATAATAGTAATGATAATAGATTTGTAAGACGCCAAATTACCGATCTGTACGTCAATTTGTCCGTACCTATCAGTACGCCAAATCCACTTGAAATTAAATGCTCAAGGCGCAAATTTCTTTTTTTTCTCCTGTAAGGATAAATTCATCGAGGCTGGTGTCCTTCCTCACCTTGTTACCATGATGGACGAGACAAATTCTAAGGAAGAACGCAACTCTGCCCTCAATGCCTTGTGGGTGCTTTCATTTACAGCAAATAACAAGGACGTCATTTTGAATGAGAAAGGTTGCATCGACAGTGAGTTTGATTGTACACGGGTACGGTTTTGCTTGACCGTAGAACATGGAAAACTGGGCCTTAGGGTCTGTTCTTATTTAAAGACTGAATCCATGGGCATGAAAGAATAATACTTATATAATTTCTAAAATATAATTGATTGAAGGTCTATTGATTATGATTTACAAAACATATGCTATATCTTTAAACTATAACTTTGGAAAAACAATCATTTCGAAATCATATTTTTCAATTTCGATTAAAAAGAGAAAAAAATAAGTCGTCCATACTTTTGTATATATTGTGTGTATTAGTTTTATCCTGGGCCTTCAAGACCAACAGTATTTTCGGTCAAGAGGCAACCTTGTTTAAATAAAACTGAAATGGATAAATGAATGAATAATATTACCATGATAATCATCATTATCATCATCATCATCAACATCATCATCGTATATGATTAACTCTCATGAACATATTTGTTATCATTTTGATTTCTTACTGAATCTGTAAATTGCATTTGTCATTTGATTTGTTGATATATCATTTGTTTGTTCACTTTTAATTTGTTTATTGTTTGTATTTGAAATGTTAGTAGTGATTCTTTTTTTGTGCGCCCTGAGTGGCATTACAGGCAAATATGTGCGCTATATAAATCTTGAATTATTATTATTATCATTGATATTCTTTTTCATATCATCTTAATTTTGTTGTTGTTGTTGTTCTATTTTGTTTCAGACGTGCGAGCTTGCATTGGCGTTGATGATTATACCCGAACCTGCCAAGCAATCCTATGGAATCTCCAAGATCAAGTCATTACAAGACCAGAAGCGGTAATTATGACTTTGGGCAGATCAAGGATTTTGTAAAAGAGACTGGATAATTAACATTCCTACAATTTTCTATTAATAAAAAAAAAATTAATAGGGGGGTGGGGAGGGGGAAGTGTTATTTGAGTTGAGATACTCTTTATGATAATTAAAATATCGAGGAAGGAACTTCCAGTGAGATTAAAGCTTGAGGCCTGAGATGAGGTCGCCATAACGTGGCAAATAACATATATAAATTGTACTCTTATAATGAAATGCATGTCAAGGGGAGTAAGAGAGATCAGAAATCCCACACTTATAAAGAGCGAACCTTACTGTTTATTTCATAGAAGAAGGAAGAGGATAAAGATGACAAACCGGAAGAGAAAGGTGGAGATGGCAACAGGTCAAACAACGGATTAACGTCACCTGAGACCGGTAACCCGGAAGTAGACCGCAAGATAACCCCGAAACTTCCTCACGTGATGATCAGCTACCAATGGGATGTCCAGAAACAGATACTAAAGGTCAAGGACGTTTTGAAAGCGCTTGGATACAATGTTTGGTTGGATGTGGAGAGAATGGGTAAAAATTATGCGACATATATCTGCATTTGTTTATTCAGGCATCAACATCTTTCAAGGGATCCGGTAACTTTGTTTTAGATCCTTTAAAAAAACTCCTTGATTTAGCCCATGCTGCAATGATAATTATAAACCTTTTGGTCAGTCAGGAACCCCATGACTTTTACTAGCCGATCACCTGTCTGATTATCAAGATATTTATGATTGAAAATCGAAATCAAATTTTGCGTTTGCCAAACGGTTTTCATAACACTATACAGTCTATTGGGGAAAACGAGTATGGTATAACCGGTCACTCAAATGGTTTTTGAGGCACTTCTTGATCATTGTGAAGCGCGATTTTCTAAGGGCTTCAACACCATCTCACATTGTTAAACGATCCCTTTAAGGGAGAGGGTCGGCAGTTCCCATGTGAAGAAGGTCATAATTCACTGACACCAGACTTGGTGGAAATGAATGTACCATTACTAGATGGAAAATTCTGAACATAGCAAACCCGTAGTCCAATCAAGATATACCCCTTGTCACTCGGATATTCAGAGTAGGCATATAAGTCTCTAGTATCCCACCAAGATCACTTTATTCGGGATGTTTTATTTTAAGGCCTTTCTTTCGCCCTACCTATCTCCACTATCACAGAAGCTACATACTCCTAATTAAAAATTGCTCTGGATAGTCCGAGAAAAGCTCCTCCTTTCGACACATAGAAACACAGGCGTCATTGCACGCATATATCGTTCCGGTTGTCTCATTTTCGCTCGCTGGAACATTGCCAGCACAAACCACTGACCTCTACCTCCTTGACGGATCATCGCCCATTCCCATTCACTATACGTTAAGTACTAAAAGGCTGTATTGTCTGACCGTTCATGAATATTCATGTTTTTGCTTACCTCGGCAAAATGTTTGCTTTTACTAAATAGAAAAATGACGGTGGGGGGAGGGGGGGGGGGGGGTTGGATGAAATGGACATAATGAACCAAGCAGAAATGATCTATGATAATTCATGCCTCTTATACTTCGTGTGCTTGACCTATAATCTTAAAATCGCTTGGCAAACTGAGTCCAAAGTTCGACTTGTTTCACACGTGTATTATAGGCAATGACGAGCTTGCAACGTATTTTGATCAAATTACGGTGGGTAAACTTTCAAAAGTCATTGGGACATGAGGGTTCCAATGAAAGAGCTAGTGATAACGTACGGCTGGTGGATGTGCTTTTTTTTCAAACAAAATAATTTTTTTTAACGATTTTGTTGGTAAAATTCCATAGGCTAACATGTTTGGCTGCTGACTCTGACGTTATGGGGCGTTGTGAAATGAGACTAAACGGAGCTATATGGCCATTGATACCAGCATCATCAATACTATTATCATTACTATAATTGTTATCATTATAATTATTAGAATCATTATTATCATATTTATTAACAATGATATTATTATTGTCATCATTTTTAGTATTTCATATCATCATTATCATGTTTATTATCAATGATATTATTATTGTTCTGCCTTACCTAGGAGGCTCAACCTTAGAGGCGATGGCGAATGCCGTGGAGGAAGCATGTGTAGTTATCATCTGCTTCTCAGAAAAGTACAAAGACAGTCCCGCGTGTCGAACAGGTATGTACTAAATTAATAGGAATATCCTAATTAGGAATAACATTATCAGATGTATTTGTCGTTGGTTTGTTTGTTTACCTGACTGCTAAGAAAGCATTTTTGTTAATAAGCAACCATGGGACCGACGGCTTTAAATCCTATCTGCACTTATTAAAAAAAGGAAACGGGGACCATGGGGACCAACGGGTACCGCAAAGGCATTATTGGCTGTATAGAGGGGGGGGGGGGGAAATAGCTACAATTAGTGCAGTCCTGCTTTGAGTTCTCTCCGAGGGACTTTGGAATGAGAATGAATGCCTTACCAAAGGGCAATAACGCATCGACTTGGTTTCGAACCCGGGACTTCCTGGTTACGAGACTACCGCTCTACCGCTGCTCCATCACGCCTCCTTCCAATTGGTTGTTTGGCTTTATTTTACGTAGGCCTATATGTCTAATTTGTATTAAACGAATTCGATTTCACAGCAACAAACTCCGTTTTGTTGACGATCAGCCATGCATGACGTCTTCCGTCTTCTTTGTTAGGGCAGACAGCCAGTGGAACGGATTTGTTTAAAACAATTATGGAAATGCGAGCATTACATTAAACAAACAACACACTGTTATTCCTGGCTCTTTTTTGTTGTTGATTGAGATGTCATAATTATGAAAGGGCAGAAAATGAACTTTCGAAAATGTGATTTTCTTTTTGAAATTGAGACACTGTTTGCCAAATTAATTTTGGTACCCTTAATTCAAATTACTTTGAATCGCTCATGCTTGAAATATGCATCATATGAGTTGCATCAAATGACAGAAGAGGATTGTCAATTATTAATTATAACTGTGATTAAGTTCGGATAAAACATCGATTTCGTTTTTTTCTGGGACGCACTGTATATATATATACATATATATCACAGAGATGATGTTCTGCGACGGGGGAGATATTTAATAGGGACTCTAACTCTCTAAAAGACGTTAACACGTGTAAAGGTAGTCAATGTTTTGCACACAGGGCTTTTTTCAACTTATATATTTATATAAACATACATACATTAGATTCATATATAAATCCAGTTCCGGAATTTTAGAGCGCCAATATCTAATTGCCTAGTCAAAGGCGCTGTTGATATTTGGACATTAATATATATTATTAAACAAATATTGAATTCTTCGGAATTGACCGGACGAATTTTTTCCGAGTGATGATATAATTTACCGAGGTCGGTGGCCTGTGATGACAAAAAAATTTGGGGAAGGAATTATCTTAGCTACCCCATATACTCTGTACTCTTGCTGCTCCTGACATATTGACACAGCCAGAGACTGACGTACGAAGTAAGCTCAGATCAGGGCTTTTTTATGGAAACGTGTTCAGGTATCAATTAGTTTAATTTGTGCCTGTGTTCAAGCATGTCGTGTGTCAAATCATAGGCTGTGCTTACATACTACAGACTACAACTGACCAGCACTTAAAATGAATGCTGTGTCTCATTTATTTTCTGACTGAATAGAGGCAGAATACGCGTATAAGCTACGCAAGGATATTGTCCCTCTGAAAATGCAGACCGGCTACAATCCCAATGGTTGGTTGGGTGCCATGTTGGGGAACAAATTCTACATGCAGATGAACACGCTGGACTTGGTCCAGGAAAACATGGCACTTTTGGTCCGCGAGTTGGCCGACAGGGGGCGCTATCCGTCTGATGAGGACCAACACGTGGACGATGACTACATTCCAGGAGCCAGTGATCCCATGCAGCCACCTTCTCCGCCTTTCGTGCCGCCACGACCGGGCGCTGGTCCACCGATGTCCCGTGGTGTTTCACTTGACTATTACTCACCGCGTACAGTGAGCCCAGTGCACATTGGTCGACCGGGTTAGTGAAGATTTCAAGTTAATGCATCAGTCACACCTTTGCGTATTTGGCTTGCGTATTGCTGCGTATTTAAGCTGTTTTAATATTTATTCTTTTTTCTTGATGTCAAGAATTACCATTTGTTTACAACAGAAAATTATTTCTTGATATCAAGAAATAGGAATAAATGTCAAAACGGCTTGCCATAAATCCGCAGCAATACGCAAGCCAAATACGCAAAGGTGTGACTGAGGCATTATGTCTTTCGGCCAGATATTAATCTAGATTTGCCACTCTCCACCCAGGTGTATTAAATTGAGGCTCAGTAGGAATAAATTCCTTGAATGCTTAATAAATAACAATGGCGATGGTGACAATGATAACAATAATGCTAATGATGCTAATGATAATAATGACACTGATAACAATATTGTTTAGCCAGGGAATTAGCCTCATCAGCACCAATGCTGTTCTTCCCGAGGCTGAGGGATTACCCCAGTTATGGCCAGGTACCCATTTAAACCTGGTGAAGGTTTGAATCCCAGACAGGCTCTGACACTTGGCAAGACATGAATTCACACTTGCCACTCGATCTGGACATATTAAGTGTATTTTTGATATTAAGATTATTATTGTTATTGGTGTTTTTATACATTGTTATTATTGTTATCGTTCTGACTTTTATTGCAACATTAATTATCATTATTATTAATACAATTATCATTTTATTATAATTAATTTTGATTACGATGATGATGACTATTTTTTTGTATATTACTATTATAATTATTACTATAAGTATTATTATTATCATTATGTTGTTGATGTTGCTGTCAATACACAGATGACACGATGCGGATTTATGAACATCGGCCCATGGTCCAATCACCTCCGCCTCAACGAATCGTGACAGAAGTCCCAGTCATTGTTGAGAAGATTGTAGCAGTACCAGCACCGGCCCCGACTGTTCCAAAAACTGAGGGTGGGTGTCTTCATCTAATTAAAGCCTCGGTCACAAATGCCATTACGAACTGCTACGAACGCCGTACGAACAATTTTCAGATAATGGAAGTTCGGAAAGATAATAGAAAAACACTGAGGGAGATTCGTACGAACGACAATTTCGTACGAATCTGCCTGTTTTTTTCATTGTCTTCCCGAATTTCAATTGTCTGAAATCGTTCGTACGGCGTTCGTAGCAGTTCGTAATGGCATTTGTGACCGAGGCTCTAAGTTCAATTCATTTTTCCCAATACGGATAAAATCAGACACAATAGGAACACACATGCAAATACTAATAATGAGGGAATAGAATATAATATAAATGTGTGTGCGCGTTTGGATGTGGGTGAGCTAGTGTGTTTGGGGAATTAACTAATATGCAAAGGCAACGTGAAGCATCGACATATAAGAAAGCTTCAAATAGTATAATAATAATAGTGCATCATTTGTTATGCACCATCCATCTAGTATTGACTACTATTGCGGCGCAGAGGGATAGCATTAGAATGAGTTGCATAGAGAAATGAGTAGGAAAAAAATCACATGTTGACGTCAATTGAATTATACTCGATATAATACAATTAAATCACAAAAACCTAATCGCTACCTTACTCGTAATCCTATACTTTTAAGAAATATGAAAGCCCCGATAAATTTTCGCCGGAGCAAATGTTGGGTCACCTATATTCAAACATATTCTAATTTTTCAATTTCTAGGAACAACCTGTGTACAGATCGTGCAACAATGGGATTCAGGTGAAGTTATTAATTGGTTACGTCGGAACAACTACTCTCACCTTCAGAACTGGTTCTTAAGCTACAACGGAGAAGACTTAATGGGACTAAAGAGGATCGCTGCGCAGGCTCCAGAATTCTTCTTTGGCAAACTAGAGCGGGAGTTCGGCTTCAAGTCACTGTTGGAAATGATCCGTTTCAAGAACATGCTTGATGCGATAATTTAGTAACCTATGCATGAAATACTAGATTAGTAAGAAGAAGAGTATTTAACGGTAGGCTATCAGGGCATCCGCAGGCAGACTAATTCAAATCGGGTTTCATTTTGTTTCAGTTCGTTGTTCATACGGTATGGTATTTTTTATCGTTATGAACCCGAGGTACGTTATCTTTATGATGATAACGCGATAAATATAGTAGTTTCTTTTCTAAGTAAGCATATACATGTGTAGGTCTTTTTATCTTAAGTGTAGACATTAAAATCAGTGATTACTGTTGCATTGCTCATGAAATTGACATGATTAAGGGTCAGAGATTGTAATAGAAAAACAAAATTGGATGTTTTATAGCTCTCATATCAATCAAGAAATTAGGTGCTCAATATAGCCCAATATTTTCTAGATAGCATAAAAACAGTATTTTTCTTTATTATCAGTCTTGTATATTATCAGTTATAAACATAACAGGAAATAGAAACAGAAAAAGAAGAAAAAAAAAAAAAGAAGAAGAAGAAGAATTTAGAGGAACAAAATATTCAGAAGTAGAAGACACGTTATGCATATGTTTTATCAAATAGTCTTATTCAATGACCTAATTATAGGTTTGAAGGTTTTTCTTCGGCATGTATTATACAATTATAGCTCTTTGAGGTGTCTTAGTATATAATTTGTTTTAGCATAACGTCATAACATATGAATCCTATATTGTTAAGTTATTGATGTTCACCTATATCTGAGATTTACGTAAAACATGCTTTTTAAGAGAAATGTATTTATGTCATAATTGTCATGTTATTTTATGTGATATATGCACTATTATTTGAAAATATGAAAGGAATGAATCTTCATCCGATCAGATCTGAATGTCTATTTCCATTTAGCAAGTTTAAAATAAACGTTTTAGGGGTCGACGGGCCACCAACTAGTTTTGTAAAGCTTTTATAAAAGTACTAAAGCCTTTTTTTCCCTCATATTATAATGATATGTATATCATAGTTCTGTGTATATCCACGAAAATACCCCGATCATTTACAGATTCAAATATTTGTAAAAGTAGAGAGTTTGTCAAAAGGTCAACATATTCATTTGCATTTATACAGCGAGTATTACAGATTTTCTTTAATAAATATGTATTTTTTAATTTCTAAAACAATGATCGACAAACAATGTTCAGGTTTAGTATTTTCAGGCTGAATTTGTATTCATTTTTTTTTCGCCATAACATGAGGGGGGGGGGGGGGGGGCAGGGGGCGTGGGGATGGGGGAGGCATATGTCCCTTCCTATAGTTCCACCGCTGAACAATGAATCATGATGCTATAGGCAAACAGCATACGGCAGATACGGTACACTTTATTTACTTTCTATCCATCAACAAAAGAGGTGTACAACATAAATTATTACCTTGACTTAAAAAGGAGCACTTTTATTACAGCATTCGTTTTTTTAATGTGAAAGACCGGTACCAATGGCACGATAAGCCCATTATTCTTTTCCGACATGGCGCCGAATTCAAGTGACTTTTTTATGTGAGACAAAGTGCAATTGATTGGGAGAGTTTGGAGAGTCTGGTTCGAGTTGTTATCAATTGAAACGAACTGGCCAAACTCGGTGTATAAATGGCTCTGATATGGTGCCCATTCTATATAAGATATCAGTGATATTAAGTGATACAGACCCTATTAATAAGAAACAGTCCACATCGTATGAGATCCTTTTTATTTTCTGTGATATTGCACAGATTTTAGGTGCGATGATGCCGATTTATGTGAAATGATGCTTATTTCTATCACATTTTCATACATTGTAAGAGTGACATCCAATAATTGTTCAGCGCCCCAATGAAGACCGTTCATTTGTGCCATGCCTCTTTAAGTGTTGCATCTCAAGTTCAGCTTATCCGTTCCATAGAAGAAAATAATAATAATATTATTTAGTTTTAATATAGCGCTTATCACAAATGTTTCTAAGCGCTATACAAATATACTATTACCCTGGTCATTGGATTCAGTGCTTGCCCGCACACACTGTGTGCACAATCTCCACTCACTAGGGAGCATTCCAGCCAGGCGTTACTTGACGCTCAAAAATTGTTTGACCAATAATGACGGTCGCATCCTACCGGGTACCGATTGAACACCGGGGCGGAGAGTGGCAAGTCCAGGTTAATATTAGTGCCTTGTCGGGATTCGAACCCTCGACAACAACAGACTGTGGACGTGAAGAATCACATGGCTTAAGAAAGTCCACAGATAGAAGGTTTGTAGAAGCCTAAATTATGAAATGTAGTAAGTTTTCTATATCATTTGGGAGTACGCACGTTTTTTGTTGACTTTAGGGCCCCGATCCGCTCACAAGCTTAGATTCTAAAGGGGTCCTAAAACCATTCATTTTATGATGTAATCAAGTTAATATAATTATGTTGATTTTAAAATGTACTATTACCGGTCTCATTTTTTATGTCAAAGGTTATATCATGTTTTGTGTGGTTTTGAATAATATGAACTTGGGGTAAAATACTACTAAAAAAGGCAATTGTTTAAACATTTACTCATTTATTTATTACCTTTGCCCAAGATCGTGTAAGATCATACCTAAAAAAACAGGGATCGATTTTTCCATTTTATTAAGCAGTTTTTTTCTCTCCTTCCATTTGGTCACTTTGGCTTGGGTGATATAGACCACCATTCATTGTAAGCCTAAAAAGGGGCAAATGTGATCAGTACGTTGGCCAGTTGGCTCCTATTCATAAACAAGCCTACCGAATATACACAAAGGGAATTATCCATGCATAAGCGACAAGAGTCAAACTACACCGACTGATGATCAAAAACACGGTGAGCCAGCATTATAATAGAAAGCCCGTATTGACATGATTGTTACCAGGGTCATAATGGCAGCTGGTTAGTTCGCTCAATAGCTAGCCAAAAATTTCCGCGGTAAAATGCGTTTCCATGGGGGTAAATAACCATTAGTTGTCGGTGCATATCGTGACAAGTCCCGCCGTTCGGTGAGTCATAACCATCAGCTTGTATTAATTGTTACTAAAACATAATAGCTACGATTTAAAATGACGTTGAGTAATTGGAAGTGGCGTACGCTGTAATGTGAAACTGCATGTGCAATGACAGCTATATGGTTCAATCCATAGGCCCATGGCCATGCACGGATATTCTGAATGCCTTTCATTTGTTCATTTTGTACATAGGAGAGCTGTGCACGTACACGAATCGAGGTTTTAGAATGATTATTAAAGAAATCATAATGAATTAAAACGAATGCAGGATGATTGAAACTAACGATCGTATACGGATGCATATACAATATCCGACGTGCTAAAAGGTTTGATGTATTTTTGTAAATACAATGTATCACTCCGATATCATATGTCTAGGGATATGCAGGGTGCGATATGAGCACTATTATAGGCATATATTGTACACAACCATTCGAAAGAGTAGGCATTATTTAGTCACTTAGAGGCTTGTGTCTAAAAATGAAAGTCGGAACAAAATGTATTTAAGCATGTAGCTCGTTTCAACCATTTTCATACAGTACCCTGTGTATCAGGTAGGGTTAGGGTTACGGTCAGGAATATGATTGTGGATTAGATACGTGCCTCTAAAAGTGATTAAATAATGCCTGCTATTCGAAAGGTTGGCAGTATACATGCATTGGCAGTGTAAAGCGGGCATTTATAACCAGAAGCTCCTGGCTGTGCTTGGGATTTTTTTTTTTTATTAGATATGCATTTTTTAAATAAAAAAATCAATCAGATGAGTTTGTGACGATTAATGGGACAGCCCTTTAACGTTACTGTCCTATTACAAACGTGACTTGGTTTCGAACCAGGGGCCCGTTTCATAACACTTTTTTGTTTATCTATAACAAATGCTAAATTTCTATATGACAAATTTGCTCTTAGCCAATCACATGCCATGATTTCACTAGCTTATAATAGTAGCTTGTAACTTGTTATTGATATCAAGTTTAATGAAACAGGGCCCTGGGTCCGATCAGAGTCAGTATTAGGCGAATACCTTACAGTGGCCCTATTACCTCTAGACCAACTCACATCTCCCAACTGCAGTTTGTTGATAAATCATTGAGCGGGTTCTGATCGATGTTTTTTCTTTTCTCGTACACATTCACATTGTCAACAAGCCCTGCATATATGCATTCTATTGTCATGCAGCGTTCCCTATTACGAAGTCGTAAAGCACAAATAGGCTATTCAAATAAAGCACTGCATGAAGCATATGACGTATCGACAGTGTGACGTATCGACAGTGTGGCCCGTATTAAAATGAAACCTCACCCCATAGAATAAGTGTAGGTTTCATGAAAAATGAGATGTATTCCTGACCTGTGAAAAATATAATGAAGATATTCTTGGCATGATATGTTATGCCTTTTAGCATGACATGGGCGCCATTCTTTGAAAAAGTGACATACCAATTAAAGTTGTACCAGTTAAAGTTGTACACATATTATGCACCAAGCCCTAGTTGGAAAGACTTATTAAATCAATAACAAAACTTTCACATTTCAATGAGGAAAAATCATAGCTGGGAAGATATAAAGATATGAAAAATATATAAGGGGAGCAATTGTAGCTTATTCATTTAAAAGCACTGAAATAAATTTGTCAGGCTGACAAATTGATTTCATTTATGAGAAACATTCACCCCTATGCAATTTGTGTTTTGGCAATTGTAGTACAAAATGGAATGCTTCATCACCAAGCCAACCAGGGAAGGAAGTATCCACAAATATGAATACATTTACTTGATAAACGACTTCACATATTATGTCACGTTATCACGAAAATAGCAATGCCCACCTCGTGCTGAGAAACTGTACACTTTTCTTGCTTTATGCCTCTCTCATACACTGTGGTTAGGAATCCTGTAGATTAATGGGCAAGAATAAAATACATCTCTTAGAATAAATAAAGTTATTTCTTGGGGTGATGTTTCCTTTAACTATTCTATCGACCGACATCATGACTATAAGTAGACTCATCAAAAGCACGTTAAGCAAAGCTAAATAGAGGAAAGGTCTAGGTTATTTAAAGGTTAAACTTATTTCGGAACTTTCCTATTCTACATAGTATTAATTAATTTAGAGGAATATCACAATCGAAATGTCCCCTGAATAGGACTACTTTTCATGTACGTGTACGGCAATGTAGAGCCGATTGAAATGGGCTGTCTTAATGTTGCGGATTTTTTTTCCACTGAAATAACAATGTCAATGAGCAAGGATGAATTTGATATTATTTTAAAAGTATATATTTTAAAGGTATATTGTTTATCCCTATATATATATTTTTTCAGCCTAAAGCCTGGTCCTGCCAATTTACGGAGCGAAGCCATGATGAAGTCAATTTTCTTTTCAACTCTGTTCGTATCAGTGATCGCAGGTATTGGCTAATGATAGTAATAATAATAACGATGTTTTTTGGGTTTTTTTAATTTCCGAAAATCGTCATAAAAAACAATAACAAAATATAACAAAATCAAAGACTTATATAAGAATAATAGAACGATAAAACGGTTGGATAGTCTAATATTGATGATGATGATGCTAATGAGTATAACAACAACAATAATAACAATAGTAGTAATTGTATTTATATTAATGATAACAATTGACAGACGTAATAACAGAAATGAAGGTCTAAAAAGTAGACCACAGAATGAGAAAAAATTAGGGTTTCATTGTTCATTCGCAATAACAGAAATGAAGGTCTAATAAAAAGTAGACCACAGAATGAGGAAAAATGAGGGTTTCATTGTTAATTCGCAATAACAGAAATAAAGGTCTAAAAGTAGACCACAGAATGAGGAAAAATTAGAATTTCATTGTTAATTCGCAATAACAGAAACGAAGGTCTAAAAAGTAGACCACAGAATGAGGAAAATGAGGGTTTTATTGTTAATTCGCAATAACAGAAATGAAGGTCTAAAAAGTAGACCACAGAATGAGGAAAAATGAGCGTTTCATTGTTAATTTTTGACAACTTTTTTTTTCATTCGTGTTATTACTGGTAACGTACATGACACTATATTATTTTGAACCTTCAACTATACACTTATTGTATATTGTTTATTTGTAATATTATGATTCTAAATCTGTTTTTATCGTATAAATACTTTTGTAAAAAAATATTGTATATTTTGAATAGATAAACTATTATTATTATTATACCTTTGGAATTGCCTTGCTCTTTTATAGAGATAGAGGTGCCGTGGTAGAGTGGTTAAGACGCCGGACTGTCGATAACAGGGTCCGCAGTTCGAGACCCGCCGCGGCACTAATGTCCTTGGCAAGACATTGATCTACATTTGTCATACTCAACCCAGGTGATGTAAATGGGTACCTGGCAGGATTTAATTCTTTGAAATGCTAGAGCGCCGTAATGGCAGCACAGCTAAAGCCGGGTTAACAATCTCCAGTTTGGAAGCGCTTAGAGATTGTAATAAGCGCTATATAAAACAGTATTATTACAGTCAAACCTGCTTTAGTGACCACCTGTCCACAAAGACCACCTGTCCTCAAAGACCACATTTTTTGTTTCCTCTGAAAATGATTTCTCATTGAAACATGTACTAAAGGAACCTGTCTACAAAGACCACCTGTCTACAAAGACCACTTTTTGTGTTTCCCTTGGGCGGTCACTATAGACAGGTTTGACTGTATAATTATTATAACTTTGGTCTTGTTTTGCTCTTTTATAACCCACTTTAAGCTGCCTGTGCCATCAACTGTTACACTTGCCGGGGAGAGGGCTGTGAAGATCCCTTCGATACGACCGAAGTGCCAACCACTTGCTCCGGTTCATCCTTTCTACCGAACAATTACTGCCGGGTAAAGCCTCGTTCAAATATTGTTTGCTATATAGAAGGCGCAAATAGCTACATTGTATAAGTAGTGCAGTGGGGCTTTAAAATGACATGAATAAATCAAATTCCATTTTGTGATATAATAATAATAGTAGTAGTAACTAGACTTTAATTCGTCACTTAGACGAATTAGGTGATACGTATGATAATGGTCTACATAACGAATAATGCATTACACGATATATTATTTTGTAAAATGCTTCTCCCTTTCATATGCTTCTCCCATTATGATCTATTCATATGTCAACATTAAATTGTGTCTCCTTGATCATCATGGATCTAGGGAAGATAGATTGAAACTATATATGATATTTGACCCTGTGCAGTAACCAGTTACACATTTGACTCTAATTTACATCATGAAGAACACCTTTTGACGATTTATCTTATTCAAAAGAAATGAAAAAGTAATTGATAAATGATTATCATCATTATGATAATGATGATCATGATGATAATGATGATGATCATGATCATGAGCGCGATCCTGACATCTTATTGAAAAAATGAGGGGTGATTTCGATAGCATATAGTCTCAGCTACAACATACTCAAAAATCAACAAAATTCAAGCAGAAATAACGGCGATATTGCTCGCAAAAGACAGGAATGTAGACTCCAGATTTGAGAAAAAGTCATCTCCCTTAGGGATTACACGCAAAAAGTAGAGGATTAAGTGAAAATAGGGTAATAATAAAGTAAAAAGGGTTGTTTATGACATTATTTGCGATTCTACGTGTTTAAACAATCAAAGGAGATGGTACAGTGAAAGGTCAAAAGGAAAAAAAATGGAGAAAAAATTGTTGGAGACACCCGGACTCGAACCCGGGATCTCAAGGTCGGAAGACAAGTGCGTTACCGATATACCAAAACATTTCCCATAGCGATCACACGTAAACGAAAATGGAATTCTAAAATCCCACTTTGCAAGTAAAATATGAGCATGATCCCGGCATATGATCGAAAAATGAAGTGCACATTAAAGATAGCTCATTGTCTCAGCTACAACATATCTGAAGCACAGCGAAAACAAAGTTAAAACAACGGAGATGTTGCTCGCGAAAGACGGAAATGTAGAATGCGGTTTTGAGAAATAGTCATGTCCCGTAGAGAATACACGCAAAATGTGAAAAATTGACATGCCTCCTTTGATCGCAAAAATACGCCATGATACTTTTGTCAAACTGGAAAATTATGGACACAGCATTCGTAGAAAATTGTCTCAGCTAGAGCATATCAAAATTTGGAAGAAAAACAATCAATATTTACAGAGATACAATCAATTTTCCGAAAATATGCAAACGTCATAATATGCCAATTTAAATTTTGAGTTTGGAGGCCATTATGACGACATTATGACTTAATTGAGGGTCAAATGAGACATGAAATCATATCTCCATTTCATAATCTATCTAAATATGAAAAAAAAATAGGAGTTTCTCTCTATTCTGAAGAGTTACAATACATTTTATATAGGCATGTTTTTGCCCATGTATTGTGGATAAAGATAACGCAAATCCGCGCGTGCTGTCAACTTTGACGGACGCTCATTGCGTTAATAAAAGGTGAACAAATTATCGAAATGCTTGGAAAAATGTGCCAAATATGATGACAGAGAAAAATCGGCGATTCTATGTTGCAAAATGCCAGTACGCGCGGAAACGCGCACGCATGCGCGTGTGCGCGATTTTTTTGCGAAATGCTTTAAATGGCCTAAAACGTATGCAAAAAAAATTTGGGATGATTTAGAGCATTTTAAATTTTTGCGCGCGCGTAAACGCGCGGACGAACGCGCATGCGCGCATTAGCGCACTTTTATTGACCTCAACTTGACCGGACGGATATTGATCTTAATCGTGATAATTATGAATGAGAAATATTTTTCCGTTATGAAAATATGATCATAAGTTGATTTTCACAAAATGGCGCCTGGATGACGTCACGATGACTTTGAGTTTTTGAAAAGTCACGCAGTTCTAAGTTAGACTAAGATCTATCATCATGGCAAGTTTCATGATAATGGCTTTAGCCATTCTTGAGATATCCTGCGAACAAAATTGAGGAATAATAATAATAATTTCTTCTATACAGACACAAAATAAATACTAGACCTTAATTCGTCACTTAGACGAATTAGGTGATACGTATGATAATGGTTTACATAACGAATAATGCATTACACGATATATTATTTTGTAAAATGCTTCTCCCATTTATATGCTTCTCCCATTATGATCTATTCATATGTCAAGATTAAATTGTGTCTCCTTGATCATCATGGATCTAGGGAAGATAGATTGAAACAATATATGACCTTTGACCCTGTGCAGTAACCAGTTACACATTTGACTCTAATTTACATCATGAAGAACACCTTTTGACGATTTTATCTTATTCAAAGAAATGAAAATGTAATTGATAAATGATTATCATCATTATGATAATGATGATCATGATGATAATGATCATGATCATGAGCGCGATCATGACATCTTATTGAAAAAATGAGGGTTGATTTAGATAGCATATAGTCTCAGCTACAACTTACTCAAAAGTCAACAAAATCCAAGCAGAAATAACGGCGATATTGCTCGCAAAAGACAGGAATGTAGACTACAGATTTGAGAAAAAGTCATCTCCCATAGAGATTACACGCAAAAAGTAATGGATTAAGTGAAAATAGGGTAATAATAAAGTAAAAAGGGTTGTTTGTGACATTATTTGCGATTCTACGTGTTTTAATAATCAAAGGAGATGGTACAGTGAAGGTCAAAAGGAAAAAAAAGTGAAGAAAAAAATTGTTGGAGACACCCGGACTCGAACCAGGGATCTCGAGATTGGAAGTCAAGTGCGTTACCGATATACCAAAACATTTCCCATAGCGATTACACGTAAACGGGAAATGGAATTCTGAAATCCTACTTTGCAAGTGAAATATGAGCATGATCCCGGCATCTAATCGAAATATAAAGGGCGCACTTGTGATAGCTCATTGTCTCAGCTACAACATATCCGAAGTTCAGCGAAAACGAAGCTAAAACAACAGAGATTTTGCTCGCGAAAGACAGGAGTGTAGAATCCAGTTTTGAGAAAAAGTCATGTCCCATAGAGAATACACGTAAAATGTGAAAAATTGACATGCCTTCTTTAATTGCAAAAATACGCCATGATGCCTTTGTCAAAATGGAAAATTGTGGATAATTTATTTGTAGAAAATTGTCTCAGGTAGAACATATCAAAATTTAAAAGAAAATCAATCAATATTTACAGAGATACAATCAATTTTCCAAAATTATGCTGACGTCATAATATGCAAATTGAAATTTTGAGTTTGGAGGCCATTATGATGACGTTATGAGTTAATTGAGGGTCAAATGAGACATGAAATCATATCTCCAACTTATAACCTATCTAAATATGAAAAAATATTGGGAGTTTCTATCTATTCTGAAGAGTTACAAAGAATTTGGTATAGACATGTTTTTGCTCATGTATTGTGGATAAAGATAACGCAGGTCCGCGCGCGCTGTCAACTTTGACGGACGCTCATTGCGTTATTAAAAGGTGAACAAGTTATCAAAATGCTTGGAAAGATGTACCAAATATGATGATAGAGAACATTCGGCGATTCTATGTTGCAAAATGCTAGTACGCGCAAAAAACGCGCGCGCATGCGCGTTTGCGTGATTTTTTGTCAAATGCTCCATATGGCCTGAAACGTATGCAAAAAAAATTTGGGATGATTTGGAGCATTTTAATTTTTTTCGCGCGCGTAAACGCGCGTACGAACGCGCACGCGCGCATTTGCGCACGTTTATTGATCTGAAATTGACCGGATGGATATTGATCTTCTTCCTGATAAATATGAATGAAAAATTCCTTTCCGTTATGAAGATATGATCATAAGTTTATTTTCACAAAATGGCGCCTGGATGACGTCACGATAATTTTGAGTCTTTGAAAAGTCACGCAGTTCTAAGTTAGACTAAGATCTATCATCATGGCAAGTTTCATGATAATGGCTTTATTCAGTCTTGAGATATCCTGCGAACAAATTCGAGGAAGAATAATAATAAATAAATAAATAAATAATAATAAAAATCTTGACGAAATCAAAAGGTGATACGTCTACGTACGTATCACCTAACTAGACTTTAATTCGTCACTTTGACGAATTAGGTGATACGTATGCTCATGTGTAACATAATAAAGAACGCATTTTTACGATTTCATATTTCGTTTACTACTCCCATTATGGTCTATCCATGAGTCAAGTTTCAACTGTAGGGCAGAGGGAGACAGACCAAGAGAATAAGAGGGACGCAAGGCAAGAGAGAGAGAGAGAGGGAGAGGGTGAAAGAGAAGAGAGATAGATAGATGCAGAGACAGACCAAAAAAGGAGAGGGGCAGAACATGAGAGGAGAAGTAAAAGAGCAAGAGAGAGGAGAGAGAGAGAGATGCAATTAAGAACAATGCCTTCCAGATGACCATGATTAAAAGTGGTATAGCGCCCCCTTTAGGTATTCGATTGAAGATTGTTATATATAAAAATTGACATGTCACCTATGATTGAATTTTTGACTATGATAACGTCATGATAATGTTAGATAGTCTACATAAATCTTGTGGAAACTTGTCTCAGCTGCAACATACTAAAAATCAACAAAATCCAAGCAGAAATAACGGCGATATTGCTCGCAAAAGACAGGAATGTAGAAACCAGATTTGAGAAAAAATCATCTCCCTTAGGGATTACACGCAAAAAGTAATGGATCAAGTGAAAATAGGGTAATAATAAAGTAAAAAGGGTTGTTTATTACATTATTTGCGATTCTACGTGTTTTAATAATCAAATGAGATGGTACAGTGAAAGGTCAAAAGAAAAAAAAAGTGAAGACAAATATTGTTGGAGACACCCGGACTCGAACCAGGGATCTCGAGGTTGGAAGTCAAGTGCGTTACTGATATACCAAAACATCTCCCATAGCGATAACACGTAAACGGGAAATGGAATTCTGAAGTCCTACATTGCAAGTGAAATATAAGCATGATCCCGGCATATGATTGAAAAATAAAGTAAACATTGGAGATAGCCTTTTGTCTCAGCTACAACATACCCGAAGCTCAGCAAAAACAAAGCTAAAACAACGGAGATATTGCTCGCGAAAGAGGGAAATGTAGAATCCAGTTTTGAGAAATAGTCATGTGCCATAGACAATACACGCAAAATGTGAAAAATTGACATGCTTCCTTTAATCGCAAAACTACGACATGATACCTTTGTCAAACTGGAAAATTGTGGACATTGCATTTGTTGAAAATTATCTCAGCTAGAACATATCAAAATTTGGAAGAAAAAAATCAATATTTACAGAGATACAATCAATTGTCCAAAAATATGCAAACGTCATACTATCAAAATTTAAATTTTGAGTTCGGAGGCCATTATGATGACGTCATGAGTTAATTAAGGGTCAAATGACACATGAAATCATATTTCCGACCGATAATCTATCTAAATATGAAAAAAAATTGGGAGTTCCTATCTATTCAGAAGAGTTACAAAGAATTTTGTATAGGAATGTTTTTGCTCATGTATTGTGGATAAAGAAAACGCAGGTCCGCGCGCGCTGTCAACTTTGACGGACGCATATTGCGTTATAAAAAGGTTAACAAGTTATCAAAATGCTTGGAAAAATGTGCCAAATATGATGATAGAGAAAATTCGGCGATTCTATGTTGCAAAATGCTAGTACACGCAAAAAACGCGCGCGCATGCGCGTGAGCATAATTTTTTGTCAAATGCTCCATATGGCCTAAAACGTATGCAAAATTTATTTAGAGCATTTTAAATTTTTTCGCGCGCGAAAACGCGCGGATGAACGCGCACGCGCGCATTTGCGCACGTTTATTGACCTGAAATTGACCGGTAGGATATTGATCTTAATCATGATAATTATGAATGAGAAATACTTTTCCGTTATGAAGATATGATCATAAGTTGATTTTCACAAAATGGCGCCTGGATGACGTCACGATGACTTTGAGTTTTTGAAAAGTCACGCAGTTCTAAGTTAGACTAAGATCTATCATCATGGCAAGTTTCATGATAATGGCTTCAGCCATTCTTGAGATATCCTGCGAACAAAATTGAGGAAGAATAATAATAATTTCTTCTATACAGACACAAAATAAATACTAGACTTTAATTCGTCACTTTGACGAATTAGGTGATACGTATGCTAATGGTTTACATAATAAAGAATGCATTATACGATATCATATTATTTTATGAAATGCTTCATCCATTAAGATCTATCCATATGTCAAGTTTAAATTGTGTCCCCTTGATCATTATAGATGTAGGGAAGATAGATTGAAAAAATATGACCATTGACCCTGCGCAGTAACCAGTTACACCTTTGATTCTAATTTATATCACGAAGAACACATTTTGACGATTTTATCTTATTCAAAGAAATGAAAATGTAATTGATAAATGATTATCATCATTATGATATTGATGATCATGATAATCATGATGAAGATCATGATCATGAGCGGGATCCTGACATCTTATTGAAAAAATGAGGGGTGATTTAGATAGCACATAGCACAAAATCCAAGCAGAAATAACAGCGATATTGCTCGCAAAAGACAGGAATGTAGAATCCAGATTTGAGAAAAAATTATCTCCCACAGGGATTACACGCAAAAAGTAATGGATTAAGTGAAAAAAGGGAAACACTAAAGTAAATAGGGTTGTTTATTACATTATTTGCGATTCTACGTGTTTAAATAATCAAAGGAGATGGTACAGTGAAAGGTCAAAAGGAAAAAAAAAGGTGGAGAAAAAATTGTTGGAGACACCCGGACTCGAACCCGGGATCTCAAGGTCGGAAGTCAAGTGCGTTACCCATATACCAAAACATTTCTCATAGCGATTACACGTAAACGAAAATGGAATTCTAAAATCCCACTTTGCAAGTAAAATATGAGCATGATCCCGGCATATGATCGAAAAATGAAGTCACATTGGAGATAGCTCATTGTCTCAGCTACAACATATCCGAAGCTCACGGAAAACAAAGTTAAAAAAACGGAGATGTTGCTCGCGAAAGACGGAAATGTAGAATGCAGTTTTGAGAAATAGTCATGTCCCATAGACAATACACGCAAAATTTGAAAAATTGACATGCCTCCTTTAATTGCAAAAATACGCCATGATACCTTTGTCAAACTGGACAATTATGTACACTGCATTTGTAGAAAATTGTCTCAGCTAGAACATATCAAAATTTGAAAGAAAAATAAGCAATATTTACAGAGATACAATCAATTTTCCAAAAATATGCATCCGTCATAATATGCAAATTTAAATTTCGAGTTCGGAGGCCATTATGATGACATTATGAGTTAATTGAGAGTCAAATGAGACATGAAATCATATTTCCATTTCATAATCTATCCACATATGAAAGAATATTGGGAGTTTCTATCTATTCTGAAGAGTTACAATGAATTTTGTATAGGCATTTTTTTGCCCATGTATTGTGGATAAAGATCACGCAAATCCGCGCGTGCTGTCAACTTTGACGGACGCTCATTGCGTTATTAAAAGGTGAACAAATTATCAAAATGCTTGGAAAAATGTACAAAATACGATGACGGAGAAAATATTGGGATTCTATGTTGCAAAATGCTAGTACGCGCAAAAAACGCGCGCGCATGCGCGTGAGCGAGATTTTTTGTCAAATGCTCTATATGGCCTTAAACGTATGCAAAAAAATTTTGGGATGATTTAGAGCATTTTAAATTTTTAAGCGCGCGTAAACGCGCGCACCTACGCGTACGCGCATTTTTACGCGCATATATTGTCCTCAAATTGACCGGGCGGATATTGACTTTGATCATGACAAATATGAATGAGAAATGGCTTTCCGTTATGAAGATATGATCATAAGTTGATTTTAACAAAATGGCGTCTAGATGACGTCACGATGAATTTGAGTCTTTGAAAAGTCACGCAGTTCTAAGTTAGACTAAGATCTATCATCATTGAAAGTTTCATGGCAATGGCTTTATTCAGTCTTGAGATATCCTGCGAACAAAATCGAGGAAGAATAATAATAAATAATAATAAATAAATAAATAATAAAAATCTTGACGAAATCAAAAGGTGATACGTAGACTTCGTTACGTATCACCTAATTATTCAATATAAGATGAGTGAACCGGGAATTTATAGCTTTATTACCTCTCATTTCCATTTCTCGAATATCTTCTACCCCTTTCAGAAAACAGTCGTTGGTACATCGGTGACTCGTAGTTGTGGAACGAATGATAGGAATGAGTGCACTGCAGGCTGTACCTCGAGCACGAGCTGTACCTACTGCTGCGAGTCGAATCACTGTAATGGAGGGACCACCTTGACAACCAGCGTCGTTGCTATGGGCGTGGCCCTGGCGGCAGCCTTTATCTTCTCGAGACGATAGCTAGCTGACTGCGCATGACCATAGTTAGTTGATTCAGTAACTCGTTGCAACAGCTAGATTCTTTTCTGAATGCTCAGTCATTTCATGGAGTTCAAAGACATTGTATAAGTGGGAGAGAAATATTTGGGGGCTCCGTGATTTAACATTATGACACACAGCTAATTGAAAGAGAGAGAGAGAGAGAGAGAGAGAGACAGACAGAGAGTCATGACAGCGGAAGTCGCCTCTGATTGTGAATAATGGTTACCTGTCATTTATATTGAACGAGGGAGGAACTATGTGGAACTCCATGATTTTAAAGATAAACTCCAGTACTGGTAAAAAAAAAAAATTAATTCTCACAGAATCAAACGAAACTTACACTGAATGTTCAAGATTACAAATAAATGACATGTGCCAAACAATTTTGGAAGAAAATGTATACTGGCTGAGTAATGAGCATAGAAAGACAAGGAAACCAAGGTAGTACCATCCCCGACACGATGTGTGTTGTCCCATATATAGCTTTCTATGTGAGTGTTTGTTACTTTACCAAGACTCGGTCAAATTTATTATGATTTTGATGACTCCAGAACCTTGCAGTGCACACCAATACTTACATGCTACATGATCAACTGTTTCTGATCCTTTCACACCTTTTCTTTCACAATGCAATCGCATTACCAGTACTAAAGTTTAGCTTTAACATAACCTCTCTCGTGTATGCGTAAAGTATACGCGTCCCAGCTGTCCCAACTATCTCTCTAAATACGCAATGGAACTCATGAACTATTCGGCGGCCATGTTAATGGGCAAAGAAAGCGTTAAGCAAGTGGAAATCGCCCTGTTGGCAACCATCCATGTTGCAGACAGTAGATGGTTAATCTATAAAACTCAGTGCGCCACGAGGCCAATATGAATGAATCAAATCTCAACATCGCATGGAGCAGATGATAGGTTGATTAAATTTTAACCCTCGAGACTGATAATGGGGGATACAGGTGGTGGGAAACTATCTTCTGGGTGTTTCACAAAGATCTTAGGTTGAACTTATCTTTGAGTTGGACTTAACAGTTATGGAAAGCCGTTAGCGTCTACGAAAATATCTTGCGAAAGTTATTTTAAAAGGCATAAATTGTTGATTCAAATAATTCATATTTTCATTATCAAGGAGATTTTATGTTCTTGATGTGGAACTTATATACAGTTTTAAATACTTGTTTTTTCGCTTTTGAATATATTTTATTTTTAGGCTACAAATGGCTCTCCATAATTTTTAAGTCCAACTAAGAGTTAAATGCGACTTAGGATCTTTGTAAACACCCCAGGTCTAAATTCTTTCCTGAGTTTTGCTATTAGATATTCGTCGATTTTTGATAACTCGTAATGAGAGGTTTCCATGGAACGTCCTCATGACCAGTGTCGGAGAATGTTCGTTCAACATTTGAAAAATGTTTTTTTTTCCGACGATCAGGGCGCATATCGAAATATCGTCAAGGAAAGTCAGTAGCAAGTATGTGAGGAAGCACCCCTCTCAGCAAATTGGCTAATTAAAAATAAAAAGTGCAGAAATTAGAGCGCCACATTCTTAGATTCGGATAGCTGTATACAATAGAGAAAATTCTCTACGAAATAGTCCGTAATATAACCCTTTTGTAGCCTTCTCGAGTACAAGTTTACTGCAATAAGTTAGATTCAGTTGAATGTATTTGTTTGATTCCATTGAATGTAAAATAATTTATATTGCAATTTAGTTGCCATGATTTGTATAAGTCTCCTGTCATCCACGCCACACAAAAATGAATAAACCATGTAATCTGACTAGAGAAATGTGTACAATAATTATATCGAACAAATTAGTGAGAGTAAAAAACTTTAACGAATTAGAATTAGGAGATAGGGGCCGGACGAAGACAAGGGGGAACTAAAATTGCATCGATAAGAGGTGTGTAAACGTGCCCATATATGCCCACCACTGATTAAATCATTTAAACAGTAATGAGAATTAAAAAAAAACTAAGACGTTCAACTCAATATATGCCTTTCAGTGCTTAAGAGATATACAAAATATTTTAAAAATCCTTCATGTAAGTAGACATATCTATTAATGTGTGCAAAATGAATAAATCAAGAATTTGTTAATATTTTACTCCTTTTTATAAAATGAGAAAAGGACATTGAATAGAACGTAAGAGAAAAATATTTCATAAGTTTATATCACATTTGATCCAGCCAGAGTTGAAGTGGTTAATGTATTCATTTATGAATGCGTAATGTATTTATGATATAACTAGTTTCCTGATTAAAAAAACACATTATGTTACGTGTATAATAAGTACAAATATTTATATTGAATTATTTTGTCTATGATGTAACAATACGTAATATGATAATTTTTTTGCCAAACAACGCGCCATTTCAACGTAATGCGTTTGAATTAATTTTGTGTATAAAATTTGTTTGCAGTTGTTTATAATTTGTAAACTTGATCTTTCTATCTGACGAAATAAATTGAAACCGGGAATAATGAATTAAAATTCCCATGGATCTTTATTCCAACTATCTTACATATAAATGTATACATATATATATATATATACACCTGACGACGGATAGTCAACCTGTTCGAAACGTCGAGCCACTCATCCTCTCCAAGCGCTAAGCTAAGAAAGATAACAAACAGTCCTTTTCAGGACTACACACCCCCAAGAAAGATTACCGAGTCAGAGTCCTTTTCAGGACTGTTCAATCCTCTCTCTCTCTCTCTCTCTCTCTCTCTCTCACATGGTGCACTCGCAAGCCTACTGTATATATATACATTGGGAGAAAAAAAAATCGATGAGGAATGGGGGTAAGACATTTAAAAAAGAGAAGCAAAGAGTAATATACAAAGTCATAGTCTGCAGAGTGGATAGAGAAACATGTCTTGCCAAAAACAGAAATGCATTAAAGAGAACCTTCTACGTGTTGTGCTATATATGCTATGCAGTCTACTTCCTCAATTAACTACACTAATTTCAATTCTGGATGGTGCATTTCACCTAGCCCTAACATCTTACCCTTTCCGATTCCATATACAGTTAACAAAAAAATGTCACACCCCTTGAACTTTTTTTAAAAACGTAAATGGATACATCCATGTTTCACATACATTAAAAATAACTAAACTTGGTAAGGGAATGAATAAATTACTTGTTAACCCAAACTTTATACATTGTGTGTATACATAAAATAATGTAGGCTAGTGATAATTACTTGAGTAAACCCAGTTAATATAATATCAGCGCACTATAGAAATTAATTTTCAGGATCCACGCGTGTTTTAGGCGGGAGAGCATATTTAATTTAATTAATTTATTTATTTTTTAAACTTTTTTTTTTTTTTTTTTTTTTTTTTGGGGGGGGGGGGGGGTTTCATTACCTCTGGAGCTTTAACACGGAAAAAAAAACTCAAATTATTCAGGCGCGTCGAAATATTTCACTTTTGGTAAGTCAAGGTGCTTAGGCCTATTTTGGCCTAGATGCCCTGGCTTAGGATCGTTCGACAAAACGTACCCCCCCCCCTCATTCGCCGTTCAAACAGGATATTAAAAAATGGCTGCAATAGGATAGTTGGTCGTTGGAGGAAGGCGTATACAGTTGTCATGCATTCCATAATATATTAACAGATAGATAAACAGAACTTTCTCCTTGTAACTCTTATAGATACGTAATAAAATAGATCTAGCATTATAGTTACTTTTTAATGTCATGGTTGCACTTGTTACGGTGTAGATATCAATATTCCTGTTTGAATCACATACTCATGCTTATCCAGGCTATCGTGTTCAATACAGAAACAATCGTTTTAAAAGCAATACCGAAATAGAATCTGAATATAATTACTCCAGATATAACAATGTTGTCCATAATTACATTTTCTAGCATATTTTTGTTGAGTTTTAATTCATTGGTGTATTTGTTTTGTAAAGCGCTTTGATCAGTTGTAAACTGGATATAGCGCTATAAAAGAAACTATTTATTATATTATTATATTACTATTATTGACATCGCTTGAAATTTAGAGAGAGAACATACAATAGATAAAGACAATTTAGATGATTAGAAATATGGAGGCCGGACAATACAATAGTTCTCCGATATCTCCGATAATAGGGACTTTTAGATTGAGTGGACGAGAACACGACGAACGCCGACTGATCATGCGTGTCAACGTACTTAATTCCCCATGTTGACTACAATTAGAAATCTTTTAGATTGCACTCGACGATATACAAGCATGCAGGAAGTAACACTATGAACATCACGGACAAGGAAAGAAGACAAAATATACAGTTCCTCATTCTACCCTCAACAAAAGAACATCCCTTCACTGCTATTATGTGAAAATGTGTAGATCAGGTGAATATGCATGTGACACCTGTTCCACACATTTTTACATAATAGCAGGGAAGGGATGTTCCTTTGTCTACCTGAGGAACTGTATATTTTATGCGCACGCGGCATACTAGTACCTTGAGCATGTAAAGGCGCTATATAAATATCAATATGTATTTATGTATGTACTAGATTTAGGAGAATCGAGGTTGACGCATTCTCGATCGCCGACTGAGACGACGTAACGCATGCGCAGTGCCTTAAAATGACGTCACACGTTGCAGTCAAAGCTGTCGACGTGCAAATCTAAAAGTCCCTACTGACGGGAGAAATGGACCGTGTGTTGTAAAATGTTTTTTAATTTTTGTTGTTTTCATGATTTAACGATGATCCGTAATTACTTTCAAATCTTTACCAACAAAGCCATTCAGTATCAAGTCAATCAAGTCATTCAAGTCAATCAATAATTTCAACATACAAGTATCACTTTATCAGTTATATGTTTACGGATAGGGTTACAAACTTCTACTCCAATTATTTTACAACTAGAAATAAAGGGACCAGGGTAAATAAGGGAGTTTACAGGTAGCCCAATGTACAAATGACCTCAAATGTCCACATGGAGAAGTTCCACTTTGAGCATATTAGAATAATAACTGCCAAAGTCCTAGATGCGCTGCATGAATACTTTTGTTTGCCCTCTTGAAAAGAATACTTCCACCTGCGTATCATAGAATTTACCGTTGGTGCATAAATGAATAATGTTACATAACTTTCATGAGCGCATATCCTGTATTCATCTCTCAAGGTTTTACCCTTTTTTTGGTACAAATGACCTTTATCTGCCCATGCGCAGATTGTATCTGTAAACTCCCTTATACTAGTGCTTGCATGATGACATGATGAGCTTAATAGACCAGTTCACGGTTAGCACATTACTGCAATGACCCCGAATATCCACAGATCTTAAAAACATGAAGAGGTCCCACTTTTTACATTTTGAAATAATCACTCCTACAGCGATGGAGGTGCTATATAAATATTTTTTTCCCCTCTTTTCAAAGAATACTTCCACCTGTGTATCATGGATGGCACTGAATGTGCATAAATGAATAATGTTACATAACTTTCATGAACACGTATCCAGTATTTCGTCTCCGTGTATTTTAAAATTTGTTCTGCAATGACCTTTATCTGCTCATGCTCAGACTGCAACCGTGAACTGGCTTATTGAAGTTGAAGATGGTGCCCTGCAAAGGACAATCTCGGGGATAATATGCAATTTTAAGAGCTAAGAAAATATCTAATGCAATGCTCTTTAATGTCATGTTAATAGTCAAACGATGATCTTATTTGGTGAGTCTTTTCTAGATAAGGCGCACATTGCAGCACCGCGTCAAGGGTTTTCGTCTCTGTCGGTACGAAGCAAAGGTTGTGTTGGGTAGTATCCTCTGCACGTCAGGCATGCTCGGGTAAGAAATTAGTCATACCGATCGACCCATAATACCCAAATTCTGGTCCATTCGTGTCGGTATCGGTTTACTTTCAGTTTTTATAACGGTCTGTTAATGATATTGTCAGCATTTTATACACTAGTTTTGGTGCTAAAGGGTGACCAAAAAAGAGGTGACCCTACCCCCCCCCCCCCCAACTGAACGAAATATTGGTCGAACAAATTTTCAAAGTTTTGGGACAATTTTGTTTTAAATGTGCTCTTACACCCCCCTACAGACATGTTTTAGGGTTAGGGTTGGGGTTATGATTTTTATGATGGCGACGTATTTAATGTACCCGATAGGCTTTGATGGTGTTGAAGAAATTGGATAAGCATGTGTCCATATAATATGGACACATGCTAATCTATGGACACATGCTAATCCAACTTCTTCAACACCATCATCATCCATGATCATCACCAAGGCGCAGATCCAGGGGGGGGGGGGGGTGCGAGAGGACCTTGCCCCCCCCCCCGCAACAAAAGAGAGAGAGAGAGAGAGAGAGAGGGAGAGAAGGAAAAGAAGGGTAGGGAAAAGAGGAGAGAAAGGGAAAGCAAGAAGAGGAAGAAGAAAAGAAAGGGGGTAAGGAGATCGGAGGAGGGGCCCAGAAAGGGCCTTGCCTCCCAGGCTGTTGCCTCCCCCATCAACAAACTAAGAGAAGAAAAAAAAGGAAAGATGGGGGGATATCAGTTGCAATTTTCCAGCCAACAAGTTGTGGATCGAGGCGGGCGAAAAGCCCTTGCCCCCCAGCAAACCTAAAAGAGAGAGAAGTAAGGTAAGGGAACGGTAAAGAGGAGAAAAAGGGAAAGATAAAACTAAAGAGAAAGAAGAAAAGTAGGGGAGATCAGTTGCGATTATTCCCGCCAATAGGGTGTAGGGGGGGGGGGGGGCACTGGCTTACTGATTGTGGGAGGGGGGGGGGGGGGCTCAGGGATAGTTCCCCCAAATGAAATTCGAACGTGGTCTAATTTTAATTCGATACCGGTGATTTACAAATGCTGCTGAAATTACATAATTTTCCGAGATTTTTTCCTCACCTTTTAGTACATTATACTTTTCATGCGTTTGTTGAAAAATGAAAAATTCCTAAATTACCAGTCAAGCAAGAAATTTGCTTATTTATATGCCTACATGACCACGCAATTAGTGTCCTGCCAGTGTCACAAATAAGGTATCAAAATATGTTCATCTGACTGTAATGAAATGCCTAAAATTCCTGAGCTCTCGGGGCCCCGCCCCTGGACCCCACCTTGAGCCCTAAGGCTGGCCCCTGGGTGCTCATCTGACCTGGATCCGCGCCTGCTCACATCCAATCAGAATGCCGCCTAGGGTGTTTATTTGCAAATGATCCAAAAGAGGCGGAGCCTAATCTCATTCGCATAAGGATTTCCGCGCGTGCAGCTTTTAGCCTACAATATATATTTAAAAGTTTTTGGTTTATCCGCACACATTTGATTAAAGATTATGTGTGCGCGTTTTTGTGTCCGTGCGTACTTTTGTGTGCGTGTATTTATGATATGCATCTTCATTTTCACTTCATTAGTGAGATTGATGCCCCAGTGATAAACAGGTCTTTTTGGCAGGAATTTCAATCCAAGTCGGGTCTCCGCACATTCAACTCGATTCATTATATTTCCATTGGTAAGTCCTGATCTAAATTAATACTAAGCTCAGTTCGATACATTACAATTGTTCTTTGTTTGTTAAACATCTAGCTCAACATAAACAGTGTATATTTTGAAAAATAGACCCAATTACATTTAAACAATCAGCTTAGAGCAATTTCAATGCCATAATCTTGCTCAGGGAAATCTAGTTCGGATTGGTAGGCAAATGTAATATTTGAACATTTCGAAAGAGAATGCACGAGTCAGTTTTCATTTTCTTGGGCTCATTTAGAATATATATTTGCGATTGTTTTTTTTTTGAACGAGTGTGCATGTGCCAGTTCCTGTGTGTGTTTTTGTGCGTGTGTATATGTATGAAATATATATATATGTATGTATCATTAAAACCGTTGAAATAAATATCCTATTGAGTTGAGTTGACTATTACTATAGTACGAATCATTAACGAATCTTAAATGCAATATCTGACGAAATAAAATGAAACCGGTAATAGTGAATTGAACTCTCTGGGATATTTTTTTATTTCAACTGTTTTAAATTTTATTTCTATATTACCGTGACGGAGAATTGTCCAAATGATATATATATATATATATATATATATATATATGTATGTGTGTATATAAGTGTACGTGTGTATAAACATTATATATATATATATATATATATATATATATATATTATATATAGTATATAGTTTTTGAAACCATTTACATTACTGAGATAAACATACCATTTCATGCCTATTTATGTATTAAAGCATCCCTGTCTACTACATATGCGTACTAATGTATCTATTATAATATTGTCATGCCCTACCCCGTAACGATGAGTGCCTATTAAAATGGAAAACAAATAATCCGATCTATATGGCGCATCCACCCGTCTATGGCAACGCGTCTGCATCTCTCATATACTTAATTGTTATTATTCACTCCATGCAATAAGCGTGCTCTTCACTTGATTAGGGAAAAAAGGTGCTCCTGAAAATTTGTGAACATGATAGCATCCATAAACCGTTGCATAATACTTGTACACGGATTCCTTTGGAGGTATTTTTAGGTAAGTCTACCTTTTCGGAATACAAGTGTCAGAGCTCCATCTTTGTGTGAGGATCAGGTGCGTACGCACATAAAAAAAAAGGGGGGGGGGGATTCAACCCTAACCGCCCTTTAAATATTTCATGTGTGTGATTTTGAGGAAACCCCCCCCCCCCCTTTGGTTAAAAAAAAAATTGGTAATAGGTTACCCCAAAAGCAGACCTTACCCCTCCCCCCCAACGAAACGAAATATCGATCGGCCAAATTTCCAAATTTTGAGACACACACAAAAAAAAAAAAAAAATGTGCTCTTCCCCCCCCCCCCATTAATTTATTCATTCATTACACAAATTTATTAATTGATTCATTTGTTCGTTCGATCAGCCCTTCATTACTAATAAATTAATCATTAAGTATAACCACTGAATAAAAAAAGAAGCATTTTGGGGTATGCACAAACGTTCAGAAAAAATTATGAAATGGGTGTCAATTACCTAACTTGTTGTAAATTTCCTTGAAATATAGGCTATTTTGGTACACAAAGAATGTGCCATTTTCATAACTGTTTTTTTCTTCAAGTGGAAAGACCACTTGATATGGCGCGCTCTGAACACCACGCCCTAAATGTGATGAGCCATAATTTTGTCAGGATATTTTTGTGTTTTACACCATAAAAGTATATCACTTACTTAACAATTAACTTGAGAACACGTCTTTCTGTTAATTTCCACTGTTCTCTCGTATTTTTTTTCCCACTTGGGCCGAACTACGTTTTCTTTATTTTCTGCATTCATATGATGTCCAGAATGAAATCATATGGTATAACACCACTATTAATGTCAAAGGTAAACTGTTTTAATGTAATACGTTCCATGAGAAAAGTATGGATATTATAAACAAACATTATTAATTAGTAAGTATGAATAGATTATTCACAAATTGATCAAATAATAATGACGAATTCTTTACTGGTCTAATTCCAATTTTCCAGGATTAAGGAAGCTTTTCTGCGTTAATAAAGTAATGTGGAAAAATATAATTATAATCATAAATATTTCGTTAATTTGTTCATTTATTTGATTTGTGTAATATCAGTATTGTATTATTTGCATGCACTTAATCCCTAGTAAGGGGGTTAAAATACATTGTAGGAATATTTTATTTATTTTTATTTATTTATTTCGGTTTAAAAAGACATATACATATACATGATTCAAAGGTCCAAGAACCAAATCTGATCATGTTTACAAATTATACAATACAGTTATAAATACAGTAAACATACAATAGTGAGCCACACGAACAGGTAAAACAGCTCCATCAATACAATACCAAAATAAACTAAGAGAAAGTAGTGGTCAAGATCGTCAAATGACTAAACTGAATTATGGTAATGGTAGCAGATAAACAGACAATAATAATGTTGAGTAACCAATCAATCGAAGAAAATAGGGGGAGAATATATAATAAAAATATGCAACGATAAAAACCTTAAAACCTGAAGTAACATAATTACGTTTGAGTTGAAAGGATTACCACACAGAAATATATATATTACAAATTAGAATCGACTTTAAAAAGCAGTTATACAATGCCATTATTAAAATATAACGTATACCAAAATGTGAATGTGTCAAATAAAAAGATTCTGAGGAATAAGGAAAGAGAGAGAAAGAGATGGAGAGAGAGAACGGTAATAGAGATAGGGAGAGAAAGAGAGAGAGAGAGAGAGAGAGAGGGGGGGGGGGGGGGGGGGGGGAGGGGGAGAGAGAGAGAATCAAGGCTTATTAATTGTACGAACAAGAGAGGGAACAGCAGAATTTTGATATCAGCTAGTCCTGCACCTAGGAATGACCAAACCATGATTATAACGGAGGGGGCGAAAATTGGCCAAGGAATCTTTAGATGGTGGAAGTAAGTCTCTGTGTCGGGACGTCAGTAGCGAGTGGGCAAACTTAGTATCGAGCCCAATTCTTCTTGCTTGAAGGGAGGGCAGATTTACACTCTCTAGCCTTTCATCATAGGTGAGAGGGGTGAAACCGAGAATATTACCCTCTTTAGACTCTTAAGACATATATAAATGCAGATAAACAGATACACACAAAACTAAAGAGAAAGTAGATCCGGCAGTGTAGCCAGGATGGGTATGAATTCTGTTAATGAAAACAGGGAACTATAGTGGTAGTCGTTTTATGCTCAACCTACGAGGTCATTAGTTGTTATTCCACCAGTCGTTGGGAGTTTCGGCCCGTTATGAACGATACCCGTCTTTTATAATGAAGTGTCTATTTAACAAAATAAAAAAATAACGAAGGAGTGTATATAAAATCGTGAGAACACCTCAGCACAGCTTGTTTTTCTTTCTCTTAAAAAAGAAGGAAAGAAATAAGAAGGAAAGATAAAAATATTTTTGGGTCGGAATTGAATTTTGACCGAAACCGTTCCAGTAGGGAAAACATGGACCTAACAGGAACAAAAGGACAGTGAAAATGAGGAAGCAGATATGAAAGGCAAACCAGGAGAATTGCCTAGACGACCATGTGACTTGGAAAAAACAAGATCATTGTTTCACGAAATATGATTATATAATTTTGAATTCACTATCTCACGAAATGAAATGAAACCGGTAATAATGAATTGAACTTTCTGGGATTTTTTAAATTCCAACTGTTGTAATTGCTATTTCTAAATTACCATACCTATTTCAACACCTACACAACAACAGCTATGAAAGGCGAACCAAGAGAATTACCTAGTCGACCATGTGACTTGGAAAAAACAAGATTATTGTTTCACGAAATCGTGGGAAGTACGAAGTCGCCGATTTCCCACCGAACGCGTGTATACAATTGACAAGCGTTTCAAATGGCTTGGTATGTGAACTTGTAAGGTGATTATGTGCTTTATATTCCACATCGGAAACATTTCGAAACACTTCTTCCGTCATTTTAGAGCAACAAGTCATCAATTAACAGCTAGCAAACGGTGTACGATACGTACAGTGCATGTAGGTGTGACGTGACCATAATAGTTCTCGCGTGGCCAAAGTTCGCGTACTAACACTAAAAGCGCTTAAAGAGGAGAGTAATACGCAGCGTATACAATTAAAGTGCGTTGCCCTGTGTAGATAGGACTTCTATCTTCAGTGAAAGTGCATTGCCCTGTGTAGTTTTTTTAATATTTTTTTTATAGTTATAGGCTTCAAAATGATACTGCAAAAGAGCGTATCCGGACACCTACCCCATGGACATCCATCCCCGGATAAACACCCAGTCAACTACCAGCTAGGACAACAACCCCTTAGGACAACTACCCCCTAGGGCAACCACCTTCTAGGACGACTACCCCCGGGACAATTGCCCCGGACAACTACCCCCAGACAACTACCCCTAGGAAAACTAACTCCCAGAAAACTACCCCTAGGACAACTACCCCCGGACAACTACCCCCTAGGATAGTTGTCCTGGTGGTAATTGTCCTAAAGGATGGTTGTCGTAGAGGGTTGTTGTCTGGGGGTTCAATAACAACAATTTTTTACAGAACGAATATCAGAGTTAAATTCACTTGCTTCTTCGCTTTCTTGGGGGCTGCCTTGACTTTCTTTGCGGCGGCTGCCTTCTGCAGTTTCTCCTTCTTCGCTGCGGCTGAGTTTGATTGATTCAACTTCCATTAAAAATAAAATCAGGGTTTTCTTACGTGTAATCGGATTTTGATCAAAAATGATATGTTTCTCTCATAGATTAAAATCAACTACACTGTAAACAAATAATAGTCGAAATAACTCAATAAAATTGAGGAAAAGAATTGCCTTATTTTTATCAAGTAAATATTACCTACGGCATCTTAAGTAGAATTTACTTATTTTGCTGAATAAATTTTTACTCAGTTAAATCGAGTTACATTAACGTAAATAATTTAAGTACTGTAATCATTTTAGAAAATTAAAAAAAAGCTATGATAGGATTACATATAG